GGAAAGAAATACAGTTTTAAAATATTTTTCAGGGTGGATACTAAGCAACAAAGATGCAGAGTCACAGACTCACAGTGACTGTGTTTCTGCGTGAGGCCTAGAAAGCAGGAGTCAATTACGGGTACCTCCCTGTACCCCATCACGTCTTGTAGAGCCCCCCTGGGGTCTGTCAAGTCCTTATTTCAAATGCCTGTATGCTTGGAGCTTCTCCCATTTTTTCAGTGCTTCCCTCTGGATTGTGGAAAGTAAATTATCGGTGTCACAACGTACCTTGGCTGTATCTCGGAGATGTAACCGAATATAGGGGATGGAACCCTTACCATAGCTACAGTAGCCATCAAGGTTCACCGGGGTGTGGACCTTTTGCAGGGTCTCCTTTCATCTTTTCATCTGCCCCAAGGCTCCTCTTATATTACGAGGGCACAAGAAAGACTTTTTTTTTTTTTTTTTTTTTTAAATGCATCTAAGAATCCATAAGGAGGAGCAGTAAGGCCTCCAGAATAAACTGACCATCAGTTGCATGCTTTGCTACTGGGTTTGTTGGGTCTTTGCTGATAGTGAAGAAACAGTGAGACTAGGGATGCCTGGGCTGGCTTTCTTCCCTGGAGCCTTTCTTTGGTTCCCAGTAACTCCTTTTTCAGCTTTCCCTTGCAGGGTGGGCTTCTGTCTTTGCCCCAGCTCCCTTTCCAGTTCCTTTGCAGCTTTTCACTACAGTTCCTGCTTGGGAATAGATCCTCCACTTTTGGCCCTACTCTCATACAACATTTTATGCCAGCTGATTGTATTTTCTCATATCTCAATCTGACACTCAACCTCTCTTCATTTGAGTTGGGAAGCTTATGGTGGTTTGTGCTGGTCCTTGCCATGAGGGCAGGCTTCATCTAGAACATTCTGTTAATACCGTGTTTCTGGAGCAGGGGCACGTGTGACAAGAATATGGTGTTTTGGGTTGTTTTTTTTAACTCTTCTGCATGTCTTCCTAAACTTTGTATTGCGGTGTGAACATGCTCATCTGAAATTTCATAGACCTCTGCCTTTTTAAAACGTTCGTTGTGTCTGTGTGCAAAGGCTGTGCTCAAGCCTTGCAGATCTGACCCCTCTGATCCTGTGCCACCTGCCTGGAGAACACATGTGGTTTTCCTGTGGGCACTAGCGCTGAGAAAGGCTCTACCTGGCATTGCAGAGAGGGACTGGGCACTGCACAGGGGCTGCCTCACAGAAGCAGGAGGGAGAACCGGTCTGTCCCTAGGACTGCTTCTGTCCCACTGCTGCCACCTTCCTTATTTTCAGGCCTGTTTATTGTACTGTCTTGCATTGTCTTATGCTTTATCTTGTTGTTCTATTTTATTGAGTAGGTTTGTAGGAGTAGGTCCCAAAATAAACAATTAAGCTAAATTTGAGTTGGTTAGAATAGTGTCTGTATAACTTCTATGCTGTTTTGTGGCTCAGTGTTTAAACTCTGTATTTTGTAATTCATTTCTGGGACTGTCTGCTAAATGCACTGATTTCTACATTTGAGAGAAGGTAATCGCCAAATATTGATTCTAATCACCTCTTACTGGTTGTGGTTGAAAACATTTAATGTGTACTTGCAGTAAGTATAAGGACTTTTAGAACGAGAGTGACAAGAATGGAGTCAAAATCCTACTGCATAATTTAAAATGTTTTTCGGTTTCTGAAAATGTGATCCTTATCAACAGAAGAAATGTCGGGACAATGTTAAATTATAGGAGTGTTTTTGTGAATTCTGACTTCTGTATGAGATTTGTTTCAGATTCTCTGTGCACTTTTGGTCAGTACCCCACTATTATTTGTCAATTTAGCTATTGATGCAAAGGGTTTGACATTTAATGATTCACCTGCAAGTACTTTGAAGATTTACTTTTGTATCCTTTTGATGTTAATATAATTGAAGTTTATGATTCTATTATATACAAATAATTAATGTTTACCTCAAATGTATTTTATTAGGTTTTGTACTACAATCTGCTGTTTATTATAGTATTTTTGTTTTAGTGGGTATGTTTACTCTTTGAATTATTGTTTTCAGGAAAAAATGGAGTGCTGTCACTTGGAGAACAAAACTTACCTTTTAGCAGATTTTCTGGATTTTACTCTTTATTGCAGAATTGCTTTGTGATTTTATTTTTTTTTAAACTAAAAATAATTTAGAATTTTCATTTAAGTTTATCTTTTGTTAGCTTAGAGTTGGGTTTCCTTGTTGCATGTAGTTTCTAATCTATGTGCTAATAACATTGGCATTTTGTAGTTTGTCATGTTTCCTTGTGGAAGTGTAATTTGACAGAATGCATGTAATGGCTGCATAGTTGTGCTTTATCTTGGTCAGACAAAGCAGCAAAATTTAAATTGCCAGACAGAAATGTTTTGAGGATCATGCAGTGATAAAGCTTTCTTATTTCCGGTAGATCATGCAGCAAAAGAGCCAGTGGAGGATACAGATCCTTTCCTTAACAATGGTATGTGTTTCTGGTCTAACACAGTTAAAATCATTTTAGGTCTCTACAGTTATGTAGTGCAGAAGTGAGGTAAAACATTCAAGATTAATTTAAACCATGCATATATATATATATGAGTTTGCTTATCCATATGATTGTATAAACAAATTTTAATTTACTAATCCTGTGCAATTAAAGTGTGAATAAAAATACCAATAGGTACTTAAGCTGAATTGGATGTTATCAGCTGAGCTGTCCATGGGATAGCCTCTTGAGGCTATGACAGTACCGTTTTTTTCATTCCAAAAAACCCAAACAACCAAGAAAGACTGGTGCTGACTTTCTTCTATCTATATAGGTTGGAGGGATAAGAAAACCCGCCTAAGGCTTAAAATTTCAGTTGTACTAAGTTGTTATTCCTTCGTGTACCTATTTTGTCTGGTGAGTTAGTCGTGGAAAGGTAAGGCTTGACAACAGCACCTTACAACAGGCATGGGTGAACCTAGAGAGAGACCAAACAGCGCGCTCTAGTGCTTGCTGGTGAACGGAGTAACAGAGTTAATGACAAGCTTTTGTATCTTAGGATACTAAATGTGCCAGTCTTATGCTGAAACAAGGAGTATATCAGGTAAAAGTAACATGAAATTCTGTGAAGTCTTTTAATAATTTTCCTTCTTTATGTTGCTATGGATTGTTTACCCTGGGGAAAAGTTACAGTGCCGTGCAGCCCAGAGAAGACTGCTGTCTAATGTAGTTATGTAAACAGATTGAAATGCATTGGTTTATTTTATGGATGGCAAGTGAGCAAGCTATTGCTTTGCCTTGATGTTTTCCCGTTTTGAAGCTTTGCAACAGGGAGTCAGCAAGAAACTCTGAAAATTTCACTAGTACTTCAAATGCTGATCCTTCACTGGGATCCGTTATTGCGGTCTGTGTATTAGTGCGTTTATGCCAAAGCTGCAGACTTTGTGATTCTTTTTGTGGACTGACTAAATTAGATGCTGTGTTTTGCTAAGAGGAGTTTTTAAAAGGTGGTGAAAAGTTGCTATGTTTGAGACAAATGAAAGTTTGTTTATTCCCACCCCCTTAAATTAAGATGTCTTTAATCTGCTTGGTTACAAGCTTCTGTAAAAGCCATACCTACTTTTACATCACGGTAGGGGTCATAGGGAAGATTTCAGGTACAATATTATGTTATAACACGCCTGGAAATCCTCAGCTATCCCCTTAAACTCAGTAATAATAGTTTTCTATTGCATCTTAATCAGCTTTTTAATTATAGAAGGGAAAAATATTTTTTCTTTCAGTACAGTAACATTTTAGTGAAAGCTTCTATCTGCTAAAAGAGCTTTTGGAGTCATCTCTGTTCCTCCTGGTGTGCATTGCCTTTTCTAGATTATTGTGCTACTTAAATGCAAAATTTCTTTCCCAATCTCTGCTTTTTCACTAAAAAGTAATACCTTTAAAAATATTGTGACAAAGCAGCAATCTCTATTACTTTTGCATGTGCTAATCAGTAGTGTTAGTAGCATCTCAGTTCCCGCATAAGAAGTGTCACTATGTCTTGATTGTAGACATATCAACTAGTAGCAATTTAAGAGATACAACTATAATTATGCAGTTTTATATACTCTTTCTCCAGCACAATTAAACTCAAAATAACAAACATCTGTGTCTCTTGCCTTTTTGTGACAGACTGAAAAATATCCTGTCCAAGACACAGGAGTACCTAAAGGTAAGTATTGTGAATTCTGTCTATTCGGGTATCATAGATCTGTGTTGTTATGTGCAATAAAACCATTGGTGTTATCCAACAGATTGAAATACTCTGTTAGATGTTTATGTTTTAAATGTAGTATTGTCTTCTGTATATTTAAGGTCAATTTGGTGTATATATACAACTTCTGAAATTTCCAACCAAAGTTCAGTTTTGATCTAAAATCTGTCTAAAACTATCATCAGAAGATCTTGATTCTCAATCTGGAAGGAAAATACAGCGGTGCCATCAAAAAACAATGCCCAGAGAACAGATGGTAGAGATGCGATAATGTTAGAAGGTGGCTTTGGGAGATTACCGGTGCCTTCACGTTATCGAAAATATCATCCAGAAATACCTTCCAGGTCTCTTGCCTCTGATTGCATTCTCAGCCCTATAACCAATTAACTCTTCATGCCATCTTTTACCTTCAGCAGGTATTAATACCATTTACTTGGGAACCTAGTATGGGTCCACTCTGCACAAGTTCCTGCCTCTCCTCGCTGAAAATAGGGTGAGGGAGTGCAAGTTCTGTATTGCACTGATGTCAAATACTTGGATTACACAGTGTGAATATCTGCCTTTTGGTTTCCTTGACATGTGGAGTGGGGTTTTTTTTTGTCATCCTAGGCTTCACCATTGGCTTTGGTCCAGGGAATGCACTGGCAGGGGCTCAGTTGAGGAGCACTCTGCAGATAGTGTGTTCTCCATCCTGTGTTGCACAGCAGGTCTGCAGTGGGGACAGACACAGGAAACTGTGCAGAAGCTAGTCACAATGGAAAATTTGCTGAGGATAGTCAACAATATACCACTAGGGTTAAAGAAAGGTTAGAGACTATTTTCGGGGCTTGAGGGAGGGAGACAGAGGAAATGAGCATCTTCTCAGAAGTGCTGCTCAGTAGGGAAGGAGAATGTGGGATGAAAACTAATTTGAAATCATAAACTACTTCCTGTTTATTTGCAGGCAGGTGGTTTGTTCCTTCAACATCGTTTATTAACACTAAAGCAATTTCTCTGTAACATTTTCCTCTGTCCTGTTTTTTACTCCACCTGTGACATTAGGTCCCCCTCAAAATTAATTAGATAAATTCCTAAATTTCAAATTTGTCAAAGTTCTTTTTAATCTGAGATAGCATGTTTTAAATGTATTTAATTTAAAAAGGAAAGCAGAGAGGAAAGATAAATTTCAGCACATTCTGTAGAAAGGAAATTAACTTGGTTTAATTTTAGTTTCTGCTTCCTCTTGCTAAGTGTAAAAAGATGTAAGTATAGCTCGACATTTCCCCTTCAGAGTTGAAAGTGATACAAATACCTCTTAATATTCTGTCCATTTCTATCATTTAATTTTTTTCTGAGAATGACTTTTCGTAACTATTTCTATAAAAGTAAAGACTTAGAAATATGAATCTATGAGCTAGAAAGTGTTACAGATGTGCACGTCTGATTCTCTGTAACACAAAATTGTTTGCTTCAGATAGAATGTTTGAATAGACAGTACATTGGCCAGGGGTGATGTGAGGGCTGTTTTGTTGGTTTTATGTGTCAATTAATTAATGGACCATTTTGGGGCCATAACTTGTTAAATAAAGTTCTGAGCACCTTCTACCAATTATGAATTAAAGGTGAGTTGAGGGAACTTTTTGTCTTGCAGGACTAGGCTTAATGTTTACATCATGTTTTGATTATAATTCTGCCTCCACTCAAATATAGAACAAATTTCACACATAATGTTTACACACAAATGAAGTGGAATTTTGATGCCTGTACTCTGCATTTTCAGCCAGACTTTTAAAGGTTTTTTTAATTATTAATCTGAATCTAAAGTAATAAAGAATAAAGATGATCCTTATTAAACATTTACCCTTTTGGGGGTAGAATACTATTTAGCCTTAAGTTTCAACAGTCTTACAAAACCAGAAAAGAGGAAAATAATTATTTTGGGTTTTTTTTTCTTGCAAGTGTGAGGATGAATTTTTTGATTCAGATCAATTTCTTGAGTGAGATAAGGAAATATGTCTTCTTTCTGTTATCTGATGGTTCATAAAGATAATAGTTGTTCTTCGATGAGATCTTACCACTAAACAAACAACAAATGGAAATGTACCAGCACTACAAATTAGTGACCACTATGGAAGAGTTCTTGTGTGTAAAATGTGTAGAATATAATATCTCTTAAGCTCCTGTTAATGGCTGGTCAGCATCTGACCCAGGGAAATTATGCAAATGGTTTGCTGATGAGGAGCTTATTAATCACGCAGAGTGAAATTTGTCTGATTGCACAAGGTTCACAAAGGGCTTATGCATCCTTTTAGAGCTAAAGTGAAGCTTAAAAGGTAGAGTGTGTGCTGTACTGCGTAGTGTTGTGATTTTCAGTGGACTCCCAGGGCAGGTGATAAACACACTTTGAAACGGATTCTTTCAGTGTTTCAGAAAACTGTGTAGTGGAGATAGGTAGGATGAGCCTAATTCACAAAGGGGCAGAATAAAAGGTAAATATTTATGTAGTACATATTTCAACAATTACTGTAAGTGTGATGGGAAAAGCAAAGCAAAAAGGATTATACTAACTTGTGACAGTTGTCTTCAGCCTATTTTGATGTATTGGTTCAATTAATATTCTCTGGTCAGCTTTCTGAAAAAAAACCAAACAAAAACAACCCATGACTTCAAAAATAGTGTGGTATTTCTTTAAAAAACAACTGCTGCATTAATACCTGATCTCTGCAAGGATTATTTTTCTTTGTGCAGTAATGCTCTGCATGATTATTGCATTTTCTGCCAATTTAATATTTTTGGCTTTTAATCCAGCATTTCCCAGTGATTGGTCATGACATGGAGTTAAATTTTATATGCTAGACATCTGTAACTTATGTTTGATAGTTTTACTTATTTAAATTTGTATTGGATGGAAGACCAGTGTTTCACAGTCTTTGTCTTAGCTGAGGAATACCTAACGGATCAAGTTACGTTGGAAATTGCATCTGTGAACATCAAGACCCTTACATCAGATTCTGGCTTAATCCAACAGGTAAGAAAAATGATACCTGACTGTGAACTGAGTTATTGCTGTTGATTTAATAAGTATGTTAACAAATAAATATTTTTTCAGACTATATCTGGAGAACATGGAATTACTCAGTAAAACAGACCAGAAACAGGCTCTCTTTTCAAGAGTTCAATGAAGTGAGTTTTGTGGAGAAGAGCAAAAGAAAGGTTATTTAATCATTAATGTGTACTTTGTAGTTTAAATAGGTTTTGATTCATGTGTAGGTGCTCTGAAGAAGAGTCAACAAAGCATGAAGGCTTTGT